ACTTCCACTTTTACCAGAGTATTTTTTAACACAAGTATCTGTACTTTTACTCAAGTACGGAAAGTGAGTACTTTTGCCATCTCTGCATTTCTCTATCTGTAGAATGGGGTTGTTTTATGTGTTGTCTTCTCCATTCAGAGGGCCCCCTGCTTGTCTTTGCCTAGGGCCCCATATTTCCTAAATCCGCCCCTGGCTATAGCATTAAAAAATGTCAACATTTGGGAAGTCTTACCGGCCATTATATCAACGCCCTGCGTAACATTTCCAGTGTCCCAGTCTTCGGATGAAGGATGGGTTTCATTTTTAAAAAACAGCTGTGATTCTGTTGAAAAAAGGGCGTTAAACATTATTTTCTTAATTTTCACAGTTTCTTTATAGATCTATTAGTATTAATTCTACAATAGATCTCTATTGTTGGATTACCAGGTTGGAGTTTGTTATAAAAATGTTCCTGCAGGTTTGTGCTGTTCTCAGTCAGACGGGATGTTTCTGCAGAGAGACATTAATGAATATCTGAAAATGGATTTTTACACAAACCAGTCAGCACAACGAAATAAAAAGTCATTAGAAATACTCAAATAAAGTCATGCCATTTTCAAAGCTTGGATGAAGTTTCTCAAAGTCGGTAAAATTCAAGGCATCTCTGTCATCGGTTTTGTCTCTCAGCGTTGGTGACACTAGATATGGAGAGCAAAATGAAACAAAACCAAATTCATGGCAGGACTTTTTAGCCATTTTTAATTTATAGCAGAAAATTATTATAAATACCTAAACCTTCAGATTTACCTGTTGTCAAAAGGATTTCTACGGTGGTTTCCATCCAGGGTGATACTAGTTCTGTGGGAAATAAAACCACTTGACATAAAACAGATGGAGGCAACACGTTATTATTTCTAGGTCTAAATGAATAAAGTCCACTGCAGATTTAATTCTTTTGAAAAGAAAAAAGCCTTCAGCTGATCCAAAATGCTGCAGCCAGAGTTCTGATGAAAATGAAAAAGAGAGATCATATCTCT